GCACTGTGATCCCAGCCAGCACCAAGCTCCGGCCCCCAGCGTTCCCATGGATCTGCTGCGTTCCGGTTTCTGCAGACATGGCCCCATGCCAGAGACTTACTTGGAAAAGCAGAAGAAGGCTGCAGCAAGGGGAGAGGGTAATTCCTTGAAATTTGCTCTTTGGGGAAAGCATCTGCAGTTGCTGGAAATCCTGTTGCCGGAAGCAGAGGCGCAAAGCGTCGCTCTCCTGCTCCCGCAGCCGGAGGGATGCCGGGACCATTTTATTATTTTCCCATCTCTCTAAAAGAGTTTTTTGTGCCTGCATCCCAGCCCCCAGGAACCTTAGGCTGAGAGACCAAGCCCTGTTTCTCTGGGGACTGATACAGCCGTTGGTATCAGTTTTCCATGCAGCTGCTCCTTTTTAGGAATTGTTTCTCCTGCTCTGGAGAGCACGCGCTCCCAGGGAGGCCCCAGGCACAGGGAGAACTGGCCGGACGCCTGTTCCCGGCCGTGCTCCCCAGGGATGCTCCCAGGTGGGAAAGGCCACTGGGGATGCAGGGCCGGGCTGGCTCCAAGGCCACCTGCAAGGCTGGGCTCAGCAGCAAACCCAGTGCAGGAAGGCAGCAGCCTGGGGACTCGGGATCTGATTTCTGCGCCCACAGCTGCATCTGGGCTTGGCAGGGCCAAATCCCAGCTGGAATGGGGCAGTGGGCTCCCTGTGGAGGCCCCTCCTGGAGCCAGGCGACCAGCAGAACACACCATGTCAGCTTCAGAGACCGGGGTAGGACAGCAGCAGCTTCCCATCCCACCTCTCAACCCGGACAAGAGAACCGCCAGAGAGCCAAGACGCGTCAGTGCCTTTCCAAGGGCTTCTCTCTCACTCACCATCCTGAAGGATTTTGCTGCTGTTGGAAGGTCACGGACTCCCTGCACATGGGGACCTGGAGTCACCGCATACACGAATAGGACACAGCAAAGCACAGCAGCTACATGGTGCAGTGGGAGCAAGGAGAGCCTTGAGCCCTTGTTAAGGCTGCATTTGCTCTGCAGGCTACGACCCAAATCCCCTGCAGCTGCTGGGGCTCAAGCCCACTCTCTGGTGCCACTCACCTGGGGGCACTCACAAGATGCACGGGCGCAGGTGGAGGCAGCAAAGCAGAGGCAAATCGTGGTGTGAATGGGTCTAAGGAGGGTTAACGTCCCTCAGTCTGCTGCCCCAAACTGAGCTGAGGGCCGCTTGGAGGAGCAGGAGGGTGGGACGAGGCTGGGGAAAGGGAACAGGGACAGCTCACAGCTGCGTTCCTGCAAGGGAAGGTATAAGCCATCCCTTTCCTGGGCACACCAGGGGTGATACCAGGGATGCACCAGGAAGGTTGCAAGGACAACTGCACCCAGCCACTACCCGTCCCGGGGTGGACACCCCAGGTCTTTCCCTGCGAGGTCGCTTGGGCAAGGAGATCCAAACGCAGACACGGGACCACCCTGTCCTGCTTCCAGCGCTCACCACAGAAGGTGGACGCACAACCTGTTTCAGCGAGCAGCTCTCCACGGGCATGGGAGACAGCTGTGATAATTACTGAACTCCTTGAAGCGAATTAAACCCATTGGGAGAATGGAAATGACTTCAACCTGTAGCAGAGGAGGGAAAGGCGCTGCGGGCATTGGCTACTTGTGCTGGTGTTTTGGGCTGCAGCCATCCTCCTGTTAGGGAAGGCAACCTACGAGTCCGAGAGCAGAGGGACCTGTCACGGGAGCGTGAGTCGGGCTCGGCGCAG